TTTGTTTTATGAAATATTTTGATGCTCCGGCTCTCCTAAAATACTGAGATTTGTAAGGTTGTTGACATAAATGTCTTTACTGCTAAACGACTGTGTATCATGTTTCATAAGTATTCTAATATAGGGAAACATATGTACAGGTCTTTTTTATTAATTGACATATGACAGGGTGTATGTTTTTGATAAACAAAATATATGAAAAGGGTGGGGTACTTGATGTCTCTGCTACTTACTCCTACAAAAAAAGATTTAAGCCCCCCCCCCCCCCCCCCCGAACACGTGGATGCAAGATAAAAACCTTGTGTATCTTCATCTGCTGTAAAAAAAAAATATGAAATTTCCCTAGTTGTTTTCGTTTGATTTGTTGATTCACAATTGATTTACAAGATTTGAACAGTAAAACCATTAAACTACTGTTGCCTTAGCAGAAGTTCCATTTGAATGCCCTTCGTGTCATGCATGTATGCCATGCTTATTCTATCAACAGATGTGTTCAAAAAGAAGTATTTCCGTTGCATCTTATTTTCAATATTCAATCTTATCTTGTTAAAACAACAATTGATAGTAGTTTGAAATTCATGTCAATTAAAACCGACATTCTCTTTTTCAAATATTCGTTTTACAACCTGATTCGTCACTTCACAACATCTAATTATAAAATGTACACATCAGTTTAAAAATAGCTATGGGTTTTGATAGTACTAAAATAAGAAAACGTAACAGTTTTGGAAATTCCTCGCATACATATCATGCAACCATTCAAATAAGAAGTGATGTCTTCGGATCAATAGAAAAGTAACTCTTCTTATATTCTAAAATCTGTGAATCTTTGCTGCATATGGTGAGAAAAAATTTGGAAAATCGAAAGAAAAAACGAATTACCTTAGTTCTTTCTACACACGATTTTGTATACTATTTAACGAATTCCTACATGTCACAAGCATTATACAATTTCTACCTTTTTTACCAATTAAGCCGTTTTCCCGGGAACTTTCAATTTAACATATGGTCATTTTGTGAATATAACGATTTTACATTTAACGCAAGTCAGTTAAAAAGATAAAAGACAAAAAGATAAAGATATTGTATTTTCCAAATTAGGTCCCCAGGGGGCACACACATATAACAAATGTAATCTTTACAACATACAGTATTTAAAGGACATTCATATTATACACCTATAATATTGATATAAAGTGGTACAGGGTATTATGTGTTAAATAAAAACAAGTATCTAAGAGTTGCTACTCCAGAGATGTGGCAAATGTCCTCTCACTAGATTTTATTTGCAATTGTTTTTATTTTAGTTTTTTATATTTTTTGCTGGAAATGTATAAATATAACTGATTGTTTAGCTGCAATAGGTACCAAGGAACGATGCTCTAGAATTGTGAGCTTAAGAGCTCTAACAAACCTCCTCGTATCTGATGCAGAGAAACAAAACAAAAATGTAACAAAGTTCAAGTTTATTCACAGCCAATAACATAGACTTCAGTAATAGGTACTGCGAATAGTGTAGGTTTCCCTACTGCAACAGACACCAAATGGCGGTGCTCAAGGAGCTGTTTAATTTACACAGTCCTCATCGTATATCTGAAGAAAAAAGTAAAATAACAAAAATACCAAAAACCCACACAATTTACAATTTTTAGATATAAATTTACCAGCAGCAGTGAGAATTGACTTATCTTCTGTTATGATCAGTTTATCTCTTGAGTTAGGACTTAGAAAATTGGGGCAACTTTTAGTTATTTCTTGAAATAGATTAATGCGGTCATCATTAAATCTCCAGAGTTACAACGAGTATAAGTTCTGTCATTAAAAACAAGAAAAAAGGATTTTAAAAATGATTACCCATTAAACGATACTACTCTTTTTAAAACATTTTTTAAGAATGGTTTGTCTCGATATATGATCATGCATACGAAGTATATCAAAGCAAATCGAATCAAATGTCTTTATTCCCAATTAAAGGGCCCATATGAATATAAGTATATAAATCAATACAAGTCACAAAGTTCATACAAATATCCATACAAACAATACATGCAATCTTACATACATACTGATGGTAATAGTACAAAAATGATTAAGAACAAATATAAGAACATGATTAAAATCTTATAGACATGAGCGGAGAGAGCCAGCACCAAGAGGGATACCTCCATTTATTTACCTTAACTTGTGTCTCTTTTTTACCTGTCTCATCTGAAAAATTTCATTTAAGGACCAATTAGACAGACGAAAAACTGTATTAAAATCTCAATCTTCGTTTTTCATGATCATGATAAAAATACTTTCTAAATTGATGTTTCTCAGATTTGGAAAGTTTGGAAAAAAAATTGTAAGAATTCTAATCTTGGTGAACTATATGTAGGGCACTCTAAAACAAAATGCAGTTCATTTTCTATCAAATTATGTTAACAGTGTTGATAGACCCTTTCACATATGGGAAGAAGCTCAATTATTCCTAAGATTGTATTTAGTTTTCGTTCATGTCTCCTAGTTTCTAATTTTGTTATATTTCTTCTGCTGTTAAAACTTTTCATATTCAAGTAACTTTCATAATTGAAGGTAAATTTGAGTTTGTAATATGTGCAAAGTTGTCCGGTATCTTTTGAATGACTATTACGTATATCTAGCCATTAGTATACGTATCAAATAATGTTTACATCGAAATGGGCTTCGTTTGAATTGCTTAATATCATAAATTCCAAAGTGTTAATCTTTGTTGCATATCAAACTATTGTGCAAATGTGTTTCCCTGATCATCTGTGAAATAGGTGATTATATATATGAAGAACTAGTGTGTTTCGGCGATATCCAGTAAAAACCAATCCAGGTTTAAACGTGAGAAATTTATTCCAATAGCAACATTTTACACTAAACAAAACTCTTTGAACTTGCTGTCCTCGTCGCTTGATATATCAAGAGGGGAAACTTGATATCGTATGGAAAGTTTGTGTCATTATTGTTACTTCCGGGTAATATATAATCGGTAGCGTCCTTACAGAAACCTTAACATACTGAAGAGCTTTTATTAGTTTCTCTGTGTTTGCAGACCTTTATTGATTAAAATAAAGAAAATCGTGGGTTGTCAGTTAATGAGACAGGAACCTCATGACGCAAAAAAACAAACATCATCTAGAGTTCAACATGCAGTGAATTTAATGTAAACCAAAAGTGATATCATTTATTGAATATATGAATGCACCGTATACGATACTCGTACATTTCTGACAGAAAAGTATTACTCGCCGTACTTTTCACCTTTTTTTTACAGAGTACAAAAGAACATTAATTTATGTTTTGCTACGATGTACCAACCAGTTAATTTAACCGTTTTCTTACCAGGTACAAGGAAACCGTTTGTAAACGTACCACTATACGTTATTATACACAGGTATTTAACAGTAGAAAGATCGATTGTAGGATAAACAAATATAAAATGTAGGCAATATATCGGCGTGATAAAAAAGGATTAGTTCAATAGTATATTTGCAGTTTTCAAACATAATAGAATTCTTGCAATGGCAAATTTAACATGACAATGATAGAGGACTCTGACTATTAATACTAGACTATAAAACTAAAGATTTTTTTTATGCTTGCCACCTTCTATAGTCTGCAACCCCACTGTCCCCAACTTTTCAGTCTCATCCTAAGCCCCTGGAAAGTATGGTTATTTCGTAAAATGAAGAACACTAAAGAGCTATTGCGATGTTATCCCCCTCGTTATTGACAATTAATACTAGACTATAAAACTAAAGATTTTTTTTATGCTTGCCACCTTCTATAGTCTGCAACCCCACTGTCCCCAACTTTTCAGTCTCATCCTAAGCCCCTGGAAAGTATGGTTATTTCGTAAAATGAAGAACACTAAAGAGCTATTGCGATGTTATCCCCCTCGTTATTGACAAAAACAAATGCTTACTGGGTTAATTTAAGTATCATCACGACACACATATTTGAAAAGCACTACTTAGTATACCTTATGATTTAAGTAGTTCGAGGCTGTCTACAAGTCTTTCCTTACTAAAATTACAACTAATTTAAAATTATAATACAAGCTTATGAATATGTAGCTTAAATTTTGAACGTACACATTAACAAGGACAATGTATTATACCACCAATTAAATCATTACATCAGTTATCATTCATTCTTAAATTTCAAGTTTCTAGTTAACTAGATGGGTGAATATGTGGTTGGGGATGGATCAAGAAAAGAGGGAGGAATAGGTGAAGGGATGGCGGAAAGGCTGAGTTCACGATGAATTGAAGCATGGATAGTATACTGTACACTGATTTGGTTAAGGGAGGCGAAGGATACCAAAGGGACATTCAAACTCATAAGTCAAACATAAACTGACAACGCCATGGCTAAATAAGAGAAAAAGACAAACAACAGTACACAAAACAACATTGAAAACAAAAGAATGAGCAACACGAACCCCACAACAATACTGGGGGTGATCTCAGGTGCTCAGTAAGGGTAAACAGATCTTGTGCCACATGTGGCACCCGTCGTGTTGCTCATGTAAGTACAAACCCGGTGATATGTCTAATTCGGTAGGTCGCATTCGGGGAAATGGAATGAGATTGTAGTTACGACAACCGTACAGCAACCCTCTATTAAGGAAATCATGATATGAAACACAAGCCCTGGAATATCGTGTCAACTGGGAGATATATATTCCGTTATGCAGGTGCTGCTTTGGTTTTGCTACATAGAAATGGAGAGTTCATAATTGGGAAGGTGAAATCATCTCTTTTGTCGAAAATGTAGCATCTGTTTTTGAGCATGGAAATATGATTTTTGACATTAACAAAGAATTTTCAAAAACACATATGGACGCATGGACAATTGTTTTAACTAGAAACTAGCAAGAGGACTTCAATTAAACGTTTACATAGTTAAAGATATGGACCAACCACGTGACAATTCGCGATTAAATTGCAGAATTGAACCAAAATATATGGCTACAAGTACTCACGTACTCTTTAGTAACTTCCTCCTCTTTTTTCCTATTTGAATTTGTTTGGTAGACTATTGCTTGGTCATATTTTACAAGACATTTTGGAAAACAATAAATAAACAATAACTATCCATACATCGCTCCCAACAGGTGATTGTGTAATTGACTTTCAGAAATGTCTTTTAATGAAGTTTCACTTATCACATTACCAATTATCCAATCACAAAGCTCCACTTCATAAAAGGTCATAAATTTAACCATTATCTAAAATAGATATATTTATATATAAAAATAGTTCTGGTATTTGTAAGATAAAAATAAAATCTGTAAGTTCAAGGTTTAAAGTTGTTTATTTTCAATTATGGGTCCCCGAAAGGACACAATGACAACAATGTACAATCCATTACCATTCAATACAAACCGTTTCGTTCAGTTTTCATTGTAAATAAACGTAAAATAATTATCTATGATACCTGAGACGATATATTCACAGTTTATATTCAATTTTCTATTTATCCTACCGCATAATTAACACCACTAAGAGGGTGGTAAAGGGGGGTGCTTGCACGGACAAAACGTGAAATAAGACATAATTGCACGTTGAACGTGAAATAATTTCTATCATGAACGTTGCACGAAAAATAAAGACTTTGATGAGAACCTTTTGTGACTGAGTCACTGTATATATAAACACTCTGTTTTACTTGATATTCCCGATTTAGTATACACATTTATAATATAAATGGTTTACAGCTTTTAAAAAAGTATATAACGATCTTCTTAACTTTTAAAAGGCAAATGTCCCGCAGACACGAAAGTGTATTCTTGATCTATTTCATTGTCTTTATTAACAGGAATAAACACGTTTTCATGTTATCAATGCCACCAGCAACCACGACTCGTGGTTATAAGTATCAGAAATAGGAAGTTTGAACTGACAGATGATGGAAAGTGCAAACACGTTAAAGCTCATCATTGTTAAGATGTCGATCCTATTTAAAGTCATTCTTTTCATTTTACCAAAAAATTCAAAGAATCGGTGATGAGGAAGCATGTATCTAGGAGATCCGAAAAGTGTTCACAAGTTAAAAACATATCAGATTTGAACTTAATATGAAGTCATTATGTAAAGTTGTTTCTTTAAAAAAATTTAACGGAAATATTTGTTGGATTGACGAACAGAAACACAAGTTGATTTTAATATATCCCTAATCCAACAGCTTTCCCTAGAAATTCATACCATGCAGGTCTCATTCGTCCTTTTATTTTTTATGTTTTCTAACATTACAATCATGAACTAGAGACATATATGGCAATACAGCAATCCATCAACATATTCATACCAGAGGACTATAGTAGCATATGGTACAACGATTTTGAACTTATCGCAAACTGAATCAAATCGAAAGAATACGACAAAAATAAATATGTATGGCCCGTTACAAATTTGTTTAGACAATAAAATGTCAGTGTGATGTAGTTACTTAATACTTAATGAACAATGTGTTAGGCCAAACCAGTACATATATCTTGGAAGCTCCAAAACCGATAAGGAACAACATCAAAGGCCTTTCCGCTTTAACAAAAAAACAAAATTGAATCCATTTTTTTCATGACGATCCCTGCCAAGTGTTTGAATTTTATTTGAAAAATACCGAGCACGCAAAATAAGCATTTGAAAATCACGATGCACGTAAAATTAAATAAGCAGAACACGTTGAACTAGGCACCTGCCTTGCACGACTGAACGTCAAATAAAAAAGTAAAAACACGGTGAACGTGAAATAAAAAACGGCGATCACGTTGCACGAAAATAACCCTTTACCACCCTCCACTAAGCTTGTCCTAATTTATTTTGGATGAATTTAATATCTCTGATAAAAAGAAGAGGAGCACAGTTGGTTCTCATGTGCATGCCGATTGTTGAAAAAGACAACCGTCAAACATCGTGTTAACGTAACAAATTAAGTGTCAATCAAGAAATCAAGAAATCAAGCATCTTGGAAATATTTTTTATTTGAATCAGAGTGGCCTTTTAATAAAGTATAATTTGCCTTCCCTAAAACTAATGTGTGTCTACTTCGGCTATTCTTTTTAATTACACAAAATAAGACCCAACTCTTTCAATTTATCTCTGAGTTTGGAATGGCGAATACTTATGTAAAGGATAAAGAGGGAAGGTACTAAGATTATTTGTACTCTAATAGATCTTTATTTATTTTTTAAAGTTTCAATATCTGATTCACACCGCCACTAGAGTAGGTATTTAAAAAAAAACTCTGAAGTCTGACATTGATTGCTGATAAAATTGACGTAAATAGTTTAAAAAGCGGTTTCCTGGAGCACTTGGAAGACCCAGCAATATAACGGTGTTCATTAGGACACGTATATGATTTAGGTATTCAATAAAGTGAAGGAGGATCAAGTTCTTCATCCATGTTTAAATTCCAAAGGAACATACAACAGTCGTATGATCATTCTGGATTTTCTCTATGGTAAGTAGCGTATAGTCAAGCAGCTAAGTCCAATTTTTCATCAGAATTCTGCAAAATGTGGTAAAAGCATCAAACTTGGTATATAAGCTCCTAGCACCATTCTCAGCAAAATCAACTTCCGGTTTTTTCCAAGATGGCGGACAAAATTGCAAAAATTCTAAACTAAATATCAAAGAAACCGTAAACAAGGTGGTAAAACAATGAAACTGTGTATATTATCTCTTTAGACCCTTCTAAACAAATGAAGATATAAAACCAATATGAAAAACTATCAACTTCCGTTTTTTTTCCAAGATGGCGTGTGAAATAACAAAAATGTTAGAACAAGTCAAAAGGAAGTTGCAATATATACCAAATAATTATATCAGATGAGTACAATTAAAAGTAATATATATACAGTAGCTGTTATATGCAATAATACGTTCATTCATCTTGTTTGTGTCGGTAAACCCTATACTCGCTGCAGTCCATCAGGCACAATCTCCACCTCACTGGCCTATATAAAGCTGTATTCGGAAGAGCGGATTTGAAACCATTGCATTGTCCTCGACAACCTTTCTTGCATCCACAGTGAACAAGCTCCTGTAGTGACGGGGTTGCCTCTGCCAATATTGTCCAGAACGGGTTCTTACATGCCGGTGTCTTGCTTTTTCCAACCATACAAGTCTGGGGATGGAAGAACAGACTGTAAAAGCAAACGCTGTATCCAAATCAATCCAGCTTGATACACAGAACGTTTGGCATGTTGGAAAAGTGCCTCTCGGTTTGGTGGTACAGACTCGATTGATCTACCTTTATGTACAAAGAGCACTTTTATAGCTTCATTACACTGTTTGATTCACTTATTCGATGGTACAAAAGAACAACATATCGCTCCAGCAATGGTAGAATTGAATCACGGCATATTGTCCTTGGTTGGTCTGCCATCTGTCTAAAAGCAGCTGATACCTCGGGGAAAGTATTCCATGTTTCCCATGCTGTTTATTTCTTCGTCCTTCAAATGAAGATACAATGTCGCAACCTGTAAAGGCGTGGAATATTGGTAAAAGCCTATATTTGAGAGAACCCAAAGATTGTGCAATATCATGAATAGGATTGTAACGAAAATGTTTCCCGGTTGCAACTGCTATCCATATCTCATCAGCTTCTGTGTCCTTAAATACAGATATAGCGATCACAATTACGTCTGTATCCACAGTTTTAATGCTGATCTTTTTAAAACCATCCCTAAATGCATCTGCAACGTGAAGCATAACTCTCGTAACAGTTTCGTCGTGTTTGCACGGTTGCAGTTTTCACTTCATTTATGTGTGCCTGGTTTGAAATCACATTCTCTCTAAATGTACAGATAACTTTCTTTTCAGTATTTGCTGTTCTCTGGTTGCACTTTTGATGCTGTTTTCTACATATGTGTCCCATACTACATCAACGCGTCCAACATCGCTATTTCGGTTTACTATGTAGGGAACAAACACTTTTACCGCATTAAAGAAATAGCATTGGTCCAACCTGACGCTTCTAGCCTATCGCCAATAGTTTTTTAAAATGGCCATCTCGATATGAAGACCTCCAAACAAAATGAAGAGTTTATCTTCGCCGTAACCAGAAGAATCCGCCATCATGAGTCAAAATGGGACCATACGTCAGTGTGATAAGTCAGATCTATCAAGAAAATGTCTTGAGCCGTTAATATCTAAAACAATAGTTAACCCTCAAGTGAATGCAACAATAATTCACGGTGCAGCAGTAATCAATATGCTCAAGCCTGGTGCAGCATATCATTTCATGATTATACGTTAAAAGTGTTTTTCACTACATAGTAAACCGAAAAAGCGATGTTGGACGCGTTGATGTAGTATGTAGAAAACAGCCTCAAAAGTGCAATCAGAGAAAAAAGAGGGAAGGGAATTCGAAGGCGAGTTCAAGCTCAAACAAATATCCCTTAGAATTGGCATGACTTTCTACGGGTTGATGAGAATAAAAGGGAGCTGTTTCAGTTTCTATCGGAAAATTTGGCAGAAGTAGCAAATACTGAAAAGAACGTTATCTGTACAGTTGGAGAGAATGGGATTTCAAATCAGGCACACATAGACAAGTCAAAACTGCAAGCGTGCAAACACGAAGAAGCAGATACGATAGTTATGATTCACGTTGTAGATGCAGTCAGGGATGGTTTTAAAAAGATCAACATTAAAACTGTGGATACAGACGTTATTGTGATCGCTTTATCTGTATTTATGGACACAGAAGTTGATGAGATATGAATAGCATTTGCAACCGGGAAACATTTCCGTAACATTCCTATCCATGATATTGCACAATCTTTGGGTCTTCTTGAATCCATACTTTTACCAATAATCCACGCCTTTACATGTTGTGACACTGTATCTTCATTTGCAGGACGAGGAAAGAAAACAGCATGAGATACATGGAATACTTTCCCCGAGGTATCAGCTGCTTTTAGACAGATGACAGACCAACCAAGTACAATATGCCGTGATTCAATTCTGCCATTGCTGGAGCGATATGTTGTTCTTTTGTACCATCGGACAAGTGAACCCAACAGTTTAAATGAAGCTAGAAAAGTACTCTTTGCACATACAGGTAGATCAATCGAGTCTGTACAACCAACACGAGAGGCACTTTACCAACATGCCAAACGTTCTGTGTATCAAGCTGGATTG